TAATTTCTAACTTGAATTTGGAAAAATAATATTTACTTTTGAGGTCCTGACATATACTATTAATATCTGTGTGATTTGTATGTGCCGACATATAAGGTCGTGGGTAAACTCCTGTAAATCGCGATTGGAGTATAAAAGTACAATTATTAATTTTAAGTGTTTCGAGAAGTGTTTTATGTACGTGCTTTGAAATATTTTGTTATTTCATTAGATGGATTTTTTACTCCACTTGAAAGCATTAGAACCTTTCAGTTGACTTTGGAGATAAGTATCAATTTAACAGGTCATTGAGTTAACTACTTGGTGACCTTAGTTTTTATCTACCGTATTGTGTGTAATAAGGTGGGTTTTGTGATGGCAACACATTTTGGACGTCGATTTTTCGGTGGTTCATTGTAGACAAGCGTAAATAAACTACTTTTAGGGAGATTTCGGTTTGTGTGTGCACACTTATATTACAAATTTGCTCAATATTTTAGTTAAAGTGTGAATATCATACTAAGTATGATTATTTTGTTTAAGTAAACGTAACAGTTTTTTTCGATATATTTCACGAGCACTAAGTTCATAAACTTTTTGAAGATTCCGCAAGCATCCGAATGGTATCCTAAAAAACTCATAATGAACATTATTTGTTCGCTGTCTTTTTAATACAGGGTACAATATTTTTTAGGTGCAGCCAAAATATATCAGGTCTCAATATTTGAGATATATCAGGTCCCCGGAACTGAACTTATTGTGGGTCAATTTTAAATTTTCGCCCATATAAAGAGAAATAATCAACCTTGAAATTTAATATTTAAATTTACAGAGTTAAAGCAATGAAAACATTAGTTTTTTTAGAAGGCTCAGATCAAACTAGAGGCCAATTTTACATTTTTTACGATATCTGCCGAAGGGATCGATGTAATTTCTGGAAATTTAATATTTGAGCTCTGATTGTTATCAAAACTAACTGGCGAGCTTTTCAAGGAATTCGGATCACACAAAGCGAAACTCTACTAAGAGACAAATTTACATTTTTCTAGGTACGTTAACTAAAAGCTTACTAACGCCCTAAAAATAATACTTTCAATTAACTAGACAATAAACATTGCGATCGATTATGTGCTGAGTATTTGGTTTAGTGTTAGTACTCGGATCAACATTCATTTTACTATATGCTGTTACGCCGAATGTTACTATTATTACTATAGCCATTAATGTCACCGGTAGTATTGTAAAAATTGTTATTCTATTTCGAGAGGGACTACTAGTATAATTATGGCGAAAAGTGTTTCTATAGTTTTGCATTAGAATGGAAGTCCTATCGTGATAATTGTTAGTATTAATAATATTAAAATTACATGCTTCTACCAAAACTTTGACTGTTCCTAAAATTGTTACTACTATTATTTGGAGAAAATTGCTTCAATATTAACTAGCTCTTTAGCCTGTGAATCAGGCTCATTTTTAGTTTTATTATTTAGCCTACGATAAATGCTCTTGATATCCTCATAGAGGATATTTCTAGTGGAATTATCAACAATAATTTATAAAACACTTTTTGTCATCAAGTATTTTACTAAAACATCTTTAATTTCGGACCAAGCTTTAATATGATTATTTTATCCCTATTGCCGCTCAAACCTTATCTAGTTATTCAACCTAGCGACTACTGGTGTTGATTGATTTATTGCTGCAAGTCTGATTGGAGAACTGCTGATACGATAATACTTTTGCTTAGCAAGTTTTTCATTTTTTTAGTGTTCCTTTTACAAAAGTTTTTACTACTGCCCTCATTTTGCGTTTTTTTGTTTTTAAGAGCAGAAACTTAAAAATTCAGTTTCAAATTCATTGTTAAAATGTTTTCTTTAATTTTTAGTACTTTTCCAAAAAATTTTTGAAAAAAAAGTGCTTATTAGTTTCACTCTGTCCGTCCGTCCGTCCTTCCGATCGTCATGCGTGGGCCTGTTTGCAAAACTTCTACATTCTAGAAGATAGAAAGCTGAAATTTTATATGTACATAGACCTTTACTAGAAACTTATTTCCGTAGAACACAATTTTCACCTATGTCCCCCTCTGTAAAAGCTATACCCCCCAAAAATCCTAAAAATGGCAGTTTTAACTATTTTTTGCAGTGAAACAATAAGTCTTTTTAAAATTTTGGAAAAGCAGAAAAATAGTGGCTAGCTTCTTCTATCGCAGCATATTACTTCTGAACTTTAAAGAAACAAAATGGCCGTTAAAATTTACTGTTATATAAAACCCGTTTTTTCCAAATTTTTAATGCCGTTTTTCATAAATATCATACAGCTCTTAAATATTCATAAATAGTTTATTACGTTAGAAGAAAATTTTCCCCTCTCAAGTTATCACCTCTTGAAATTTGTAAAATTTAAATTTTTGACGCTTTATATTTCCGAAACCGCAAGCTTCTTCAAATTTCTATAAACGCAAAAAGCCAATACTACTTTTCTGCGTTTGCAAAATTTTAAAAATGCATATGGTTCTATTACAATATTAATAGTTGAAAAATGGATTTTAAGGGTTTTTGAGGGGTATAACTTTTGGAGGGGGGAGATAGGTAAAAATTATGTTCTACGAAAATTAGTTTCTAGTAAAGAAACTAGAAAATTAGTTTCTATGTACATATAAAATTTCAGGTTTCTATCTTCAAGGGTGTAGAAGTATTGTAAACAGATACACGGACAGACGGACGGACTGATGACGGTCAGACGGACGGACGACGGTCGGGCGGACGGACGAAGTAAAACTAATAAGTTCTTTTTTTAAAAATTTTTCTGAAAAATGCTAAAAATAAACGAAAAATTAAAAGTTTTAGAATATTAAATATTTCACGGCATATGGGGGGTAATAACATAATTGTATACTAACGGAAAAAAGTAAATAAATTAAATTTATAGCATTAGAATATCAATATTTTAATTTCTTCTTTTTAAGTTGTGAATCCAACCAGTATTTTAAAGCATGAAATCTATAAGTTTAATTTTACATTTTGAAATGAGAACGTATAAAATAAGAATGTAGTTGCATATTAACCTTTAACCGACGTAAATTTTACACCGTGGTAGTAAATTTTACACCATCGCTTTTGATTTTGTAGTTACTCCCTTATATTGTTCTCTCACACTTTAATATTCTCTATACCTTCATTCTGTTGCATGCTCTCTTACTCAGTGTTCATTTTGTTATCGTGCGTAAAACTCATACGGCGAAATTAGGAGAGAGGTGTAAAATTTACTACCAGGTCGGCGTTTGTGGAATTTTTTCAAAGAAAATATTTTACTACCACGTCTAAGTTAAGGTAAGTACTTCATGGAAAAAAAATACTACACGTCTACATTATCGTTAATTTTCAATAGAAAAATTTTTACACCACGTCTAAATTTAAGTTACCATAAATAAACGCTAAAAATTTCGATTGTTATACCAAACAATTTTTTAGAATACAGCACAGTATGGACAATTCAGAAATAGAAAGAATTTTGGAAGACGATGAAAATTATGACGACGAAGATGATGTAAGTGAAGTAGATGATGACATTATCGATCCAAACTTTTGTCCAGAAACTCTTAGCGACGTCAATTCAGAAATAAGCGAAGTGGAAAGTGATGACGAAACTGTCGAAGAAATACATATACAACACACTTTAAATGACGAAGTAAACGAAGAAGAAATGCAAATTAATACTTCCGCCCCTTCTAAGGAAAAACCCGTTACGTCAAGCAAATTATGTTATATTTATCCATCTAAATTAAAAAGGAAAACTACACATATTTGTTTAATTTGCGAAAAGCCAATGTGCATGGGTTGCAGTAAACGCATGTGTATTAACATAATATTTTACACGAAAAGACTGCTTGTTATTTTTTAGATCGTAAGTTATATTGAAATGTTTATACTTTTTTTTTAAATTTTGTATATCCGGCTGTGAAAAAATGCCTATTGATTTTTTGTTGTATTAATTTTTTATTTCGTTTTGAATAGTACAAAATACATAAAAAAAAACAAACAAGCTTTTGAAATAAAACACCAATTTTTGGAAAAAAAAATAATTTTTTTTCTTTTTTTCTTTCAAGAATAAACACATTCTTGTTTTAATAAACACATAAATTTAATATTGAAATTAAATTTATTTCAGTACTTGGGTAATATAAATTTAATATATTAATATATTTGAATCTTACAAAATAAGGTGTAAAAATTACTACCACTTCGACGAATATGTTAAAAAATTCCACCTCGTAGGTTAAAGGTTAACCTCAAACTGTATGTTGAAAGCTAGTAGGAATAAAGTGTAATGAACATTTAACAATAAATTGTGCTCGCGCCCCAATCTGTTCTTTAATTTTCTCGAAACCATTCCAATAAATTTCTTTCAGGACTACCGTGAATCACCAGACTAGACTGGAAAATGCAGAAACCCATCGTCCCAGAGAAAGGGCTGCCTTTATGTGAAAAAAATTGCTGTGTAAATGCAGCTTTCGTCCTAATTTTTTTCTTTCTCCACCTGAATGAAGTTGCTACATTTTTCAGATTTATAACATCTAAACAATATTACTTAAAAATATTATTATAGGCATAGCTTTTAGTTTGTATAAACTCCGTCACAAGAAATCTTAAGACAACTTCATCGATTCCTCTACCGTGGCCAAGTTGTAACAATGGTCTCATTCATGAATTGTTTGCCAATTTTTGTAACTTCTCATACCCTGAAGCAAACCAAGATTGCTCCAAGTATGACTCTTTGATCAGAATTCAAAATAATAATTGGTTGAATTATTTGATTTTATTGGTCATTTTTCAAAATCATTTTGAAAATGTTATATTAATATTCAGTATTATGTTGTATTAACATTAATATTAAGTTTTTAGTTGCTTATTGTTTGGTATTATAAAAAACTCTTTTTAGCAAATATGCGATTCACAAAGTTAAACTTGCGAAACCTTGTGAAAATATTTCAGTACACTTTTTCCATTTACTTAAATTTTAAGGAATTCACGACGTTGGCCGCTTATAATTGATCCTCAAGGTCAAGCAAACAAATGGATCAAAAACAAAGAAAAAACTAGTAAGCTTTGCATTATTCGACCAGGGCAAGCAGATAGTACAAGAATTTTAGAGAATGCACTACAATTTGGATTACCAGTTTTGTTAGAAAACGTCCTTGAAGATCTTGACCCGATGTTGGAATCTATTTTATTAAAGCAAACTTTCAAACAAAGTGGAGCATCATGCATAAAATTGGGGGATACAATAATAGAGTATAATGTTAATTTCAGGTAATTTGACAGCAAACGAAATATCAGCGTTTAAAATGATTTCACACCAAATTTAGTTATGTTAGTACTCGTATGTTGTGATTTTGAAATGTTAATGCACTATGAATCATTATCTTTCTTTGCAAAAATGGCAAATATATGCTTATAATTAACTTGAAACAAAGAAAAGAGCTGTTTATGACAAGTTCGGTAGTGGAAGTTTTAGTTATTCCTAGGTATATTTCTGACATTAGTTATTCCTAGTTATAGTTCTTAATAAATTTTTGTTACTATATTATTAGTGTGTACGGCTTCTGTACAGCGAAAATATTTTACTTCCTACGACTTTTTTATTACTCCATTTATAAGTAGAATTTCTCCATTAGAAGATGTTTTTACCGACCGTAATGTGTAATAGGTAGGTCATGTGATGGCAACAAATTTTGCATATCGAGTTTTCGGTGGGAATGCACTTCTCCATGGTAGGGAAGTGTAAATAAACTATTTTTAGTAACCCGTTGGTCAGTCCGTGCACTCGTGTATCGCAAGTTCGGCTGAAAATGGCCCGGATTGATCAACTTTTGGGACATATCAGGCCTTGGGAACTGCACTTTTTAGCGGGCTTGTTTTACATTTTTGACCATTTTGAAGAAAATGTATATATAATTAATCGATTTACTTGAAATTTCATAAATAAGCTTCGCTCGACCGTCTGGAAAACCTCCTAAATTTTGGAAGAAATCAGGTGTCAGGAACTGGACGTTTACTACTGTCCAAATATACATTTTTGCGTGTATAAAGAGAAATAATCTTCTAATTTTTTTAAGAATTTAATAATTCTATTTAAATTCTTCGTACTAAAACAATGAACATCTAAATTTTTTGGAAAGATCAGGGTTCGATCATATCTTCGGAACGAATTGATGGAATTTCTTCAAATTTGATATTTGAGTTCTGGTTGTTACCGAAATTAACTGGCGAGCATTTTAAGGAATTCGGGTAGGACAAAACGAAGCTCTTAGTACCAAATTTTCCTAGGTATATTAACTATAAGCTTATTAATGTCCTAAAAATTGGAAAAAAGTATTTACAGCCATTTTTATAATATTCTGTAACACTTTCACTTAACTAGACAATTCACATTTAGGTCGGTTATATGCTGACCACATCAGATTTTTTGTTTTCATATCGAAAATGTTATAGTTAATAGTTAATATATAGTTAATCAAACATGTAATTTGTAAATAATTTAAATTTGTAAAAATCCTTTAACAATTGTAATTATGCAAAATTTCACAAAAAATAAATTAATATAAATTCTGAATAGTATAACAAATTAAGTTAACTCTTAATTCACACTTAGTTCATGCTATTTCATCTTTTATAAGAAATCATTTTACTTTTAATTTCGAATATGACACCCACCTTATTGCTATGCACGGTTTTTTCATTATTTCTTCTGTTTTAAAATAAAAGCAGTTAAAAATAAGTAGTTTTTCAAAATAAAGTGTCTGAAAAGTCTTGGTATAAGCAATTCATGAATAAGAAGCCTTATCTATATCTGCATGGCTCTCAAAGGAATTGTGTACCGTGATTTAAACTTATAGTTCTTCGTAGAGGTGGTAAATTTTACACCAATAAATACAAGTCACTGGGACAAATAATATTCATAAAAACAAAAAAGAAAGTTACAGGAGTTGTTTTTGGAATATTTTCCTTAAAAATAGTAAGTTAAAAAAAAAACTAGTTTTTATACACTTTTCAAAAAAAAATTGAGAAAAAACGCTACTTAGTTTCACTCTGTCCGTCCCTCCGTCTATCCATTCGTGGACATGTTAATAAAACTTAAAGAAAGAAATCCGAAATTTTATAGGTACACAGATTTTGGCTAAGAACTTATTTCCGTAGAAGAAATTTTTTAACTATCTTCCTCCTTTAAAAATTATACCCCTTCGAGACCCTAGAAATTCCATTTTTAGCTATTTTTTGCAGTGAAATCATAACATTTTGATTATTCACAATTTTGATTATTACAATATTTTGATTTGGCACAATAGCGTAGAAAGTACTCATTGGTCCAGATGAAAAACATTAAACTAACTCAAGAGGTCTCGTACGTTTTAGTCTCCAAACAAAGTTTTGATTGTCAACCAATCGAGCCGCCTTGATGTTGACATGATTGGACAAACGCATTTTATGATGGCCTGCTTGCTTTTTAGTTTCGTCTGTGACTCTTAGGACCGTGAGATCCCTGCGTATATCGGCATTACGGACATAGCAAGCGGTGTTTTCAATGTCCCGTAATACCCTATTTTGAAATTTTTGAGTAGATGGGATATAAGTCTGCGCAGCGCAGCCCCATAAATGAATACCGTAAGCCCAGACAGGCTTAAATATTTGATTATATATCAAAACTTTGTTGTATATTGTCAAATTAGAACGACTTCCCAAAAGCCATTCAAATTTTCTGTATTCCTCCTCGAGTTGAGATCTCTTTTTCTTTATGTGTTCCTTCCCTGAGCTTTGCGTCCAACGTCATTCCCAAATACTTCGACGTGTTTGCAGTCATTTATCCGAATCGAAAATGAATTGTCAATTTTCCTATTAGTGAAATCCACGTGTACTGCTTTCATGCCGTTATGTGTTATATTCCTATTTCTAGTACATTTTGAGATCACTTGCATTTTGTAATTTTTGTGTAGATTCATTTTCATTTGATCCTATTGCGAAGTGTAGCTGTTGTCATTCCTTCTGATTCAGGAATAAATAATAGGAATTGTTATACAAGTGTATAACAAGTATAATATCGGGCCAAATATACTTCCTTGTGATACCCCCGACCTGATATCCATAAGCGAAAAGTACTCCTCTTCCTGTTTAACTCAAAATATCCTATTAGTCAGGTAAGATTCAAGAAGGCTAACATACTACATTGGTACTCGTAGTAATTGCCTAAGTTGTATTGTTAATTCACAATGCCAAACCTTATCACAGATCTAGGCTACGTCCAAAATTATGATGCAACATATCTTTTTTTCTTCCAGTGAATTTTCTATTAGGTTAGTTATTCGATGAATCTGATCTATGATTGAGTGGTGCCGACGCAAGTCAAATAGATGATTTGGTAATAACCTTTTACTTTCAATTATAGACTGAGGTCTTCTCAATAAAAGTTTCTCGGCAACAATGAGATTGGTCTATGAGAAGTCGTCCTGTCTGTTGGTTTGCCAGGTTTGTGCAACATGATGATCTCTGCAACTTTCCAAATGTCATGCACCTAATTAAACCTTATACACGAATTTTTTAGGCGCGTAAGCATCGCTATATCCTTTTTGGATAATTTTTTCAAAATATTGGCCGTCATTAGGTAAAATCCTGGTGCCTTTCTAGGTTTAAGAGTCCCGATTTCCTCTATAACATATCTTTCCTTGACAATTGGAATAGTCGCGCTTTCCTCAAGCAAACTCATTTGCCTTGTCCTTGTCAGCTTTTCCAACTTTCCATCTTTGTTTTTAATAGGAGCAAACATATCGATATAAATCTATCGCCTTTTGAAACATTTTACGGCAAGAACGTTTTGAAACATTTCTGCCGTCACTTTAAATTTGGGGTGACAATATAATGCATCCACTCTAAATCTTTACTTAGTCGAAGTGATCTCAACCGCCTTCATTTGCATTCCCTCGGTTCGCATCTGGTGCAGTTCGCAATGCTGGGTGGTTAGAGTTCCATAACCTGGAAACCTAGTCCTGCTTCTTAAAGCCATATGTGCTTCAGTTATGACGAACACGTCAATATTCTGTGTATGTAGAAAAACTTCTGGCATGTACTCTTTATTTGCAATACCATTGCAATTCCATGTTGCTTTTTTAAAATTACCTCGTGCCATCATTTAACAGGTCTTTTGATATTCGATTTTTTCCCTTCGCTCTCTAAAATGCTCAACTTCTGAGAGATTTTGTCCATCATATCTAACATGTTTTGCATCATATTTTGCATTTGACATTTTGCATTTGAGAACGTCCTTGTATATTAAATCTTCTGATACTATTCTCGAGGTGAATTGCCTCAGTAACCGGTCAGAATTCTTCTTCAAGTTGTTGTTGGTGTTGTTATTTCTACGTTTTTGCAGTTTCTTAGCTATGAGTTCCTTAACTATAGGGGAGAGTTTGCTGGGTGGGCCACCAAATAATTGGAACACCTTGCTGTAATACTCCTTGGCTTACTACAATCTGCGGTTAAGTGACTGCCAGCACATTTGACACAATTTGGTTCTCTCTGGACAAATTTATGTATATGCACATACCTTTGACAACTTTAACACTGCGGAATGGTTCTATCCTTTCGAAGTGCCCCTATCCTAACTTTTATCCTGTTTATGTGATCGATTTCATAAAGTTTTTTCATCTCCTCGTCATTTGAGAATGTTAACATAAAAAGTGGTAGCGACACCATAATGTTTTTCCCATTTTCATTCATTAGCAACCGTATTGTGTATACAATAGGTAGATTATGTGATGGCAACAAATTTGCACATCGAGCTTTCGGAGGGACCGCACTTCTTTATGGTAGAAAAATGTAAATAAAACATTTTTAGCAACCTGTCGGTCTGTCGGTCTGTATGTGCACGCGTGTGTCTCTAGTTCGGCTATGTTGTATATGTAAGTTTATTGCGACCATAGCATGGACTGATCAACTTTTGAAATATATCAGGGCTCGGGAACCTCACTTTTTAGCGGGCCTGTTTTACATTTTTAACCATTTTGAAGAAAATATTCGAAGAATAAGAACCGATTTAGTTGAAATTTCATACGTAAGCTTTGCTCGACCGTCCGCGAAGCCTTCTAACTTTTGGAAGAAATCGGGTGTTAGCAACCGTACTTTTACTACGGGCCGAGTATACATTATTGCGTATATAAAGAAAAATAATCAACCGATTTCATTGAAATTTAATATTTAAATTCTACGTATTGAAACAATGAACATATAAAGATCAGGCAAAGATCAGGGTTTATAACTGA